ACGTTGTTGTTAACTATTACTTGTCAAGTTCTCATATATTTTTCAATTAATATTAAGAATTACTGTTCCTTGCTTTTTCGTTATGTCACTTTTGTTTGTCATTATTTATATATTCCTTTAGTTCCATTTGTAGTACGTATGCTGATTAAAGATTTTGTGGCAATGGAATAATATATGTGCGTTAAAGCCCTCGAATATTTATCATATTTCAGCATTGCAATCTTAACTCTTTTAGTCTTTGAAAAACTGATAACATTCTTGAATTAAAATCCTTATATTGGTAAGCCCTAACAGTTTTACGGTGTGTTTTACTGCACATACCTACCTAGCTGTGATATATGTTATATATATTTTTCTGCTGTGGTGAAACTAAAAGTATTTTTTTAACTTTGCGATGCTGCACGCTGATTGCGGTGTCCTTGACTTAAAAGAATCTTCAAGTGTAGTTTTAATTGCCGCTTCGTATGTTGCCAATGTGTCGAGAGTTGGTTTGGGCTGTTGCTCGATTGCTCGTGTTCTTACGTACACATTTTATGATTTTTCGCTTAATTAAAATATTTAAAATAAACTATCAAGTTTACAGATTTCTCGTTCTTTGTATCTTTAATGATTTTAATTGTGCCTTACTTGAAAAGTGTTCGTTTGTGGCCTATTTGAAGCAACAATTGCTTTGCTGATGTGCTGCTGCTGTTCTATTGTCTTTTGTTGTGATTAATTTAAATACTGTTGCACTCAACAGAAACAATATTTATTATAAAAATATTTTTATTTATTGAAAAAAGATTTGTATGTAATTTTTTTACATATATGTATTACAAAATCACAAAGCAACGAGTATGTTTCTTTTTGCATCTTCATTCAATTTAATTCATATTTATTTTCGATTATGTGATTAGTTTTATATATTAATTAATTTTTATTTTGATGTTGATTAAAATTAATATATAATATAAACTCACCAAATGAAAAAATGGCATATTGTGTTTGCGTTTAATTCGTTATGGCAGCCGTAAACTTCTTTTTAATTAAATAGTTTGATATGTGAAATATATTTCACGAGATATTTTTTCAGTAATCCTCATGAAACTTAAAACAAGTTTTCTTGATAAATGATTTAATAAAAATGTTTATTTTAATCTAGTATTGTATCTTTTAATACTATTTTTACAAATCTTTTAGTTTAATAAAAAGGTTTGCAAATACCTATATTTTCACAAAGAGATTTATGGGAACAGTTGTCAAACAAATGTGGTACAGAAATATGATTGCAAATTTAAAAGAAGATTAATTGTAGTTATTTAAAAAAAATAATCCATACTTGATATCTATCAATAGATTATAGATATAATTCTTTGAATATTAAACGACTGCTTTGCTGATATCATTTTTTTATATTTATTGAAATACAGATAAAATACTCGTATTTGTAAAGTAATCCACACTAAATCTTCTTAGTATTGACAAAATATTTTACAGTACAGTAGATATGTTCTTCAAAAATGTTCTGTAAACTACCTACTATGTCAAAGTCAAATCAAACTATTGTCACAATTTGTATATTTTAATAGCTAAACAACTAGTTCTATTATATGCCTTCTAGTGTAAGATTTTCAATTTAGCATTTAATACCCTTTTGTACTATTTTGTACTACTATAAAAGATTTGATATTTGTTTCTAAATTTTTTGAAATTGGTTATTTCTACGGATCCTTACATACTATGGATTCTTACATATTTTACAATTACTGCAGCATTACGATAGTTCACATACCTGATCATCGATCACCTGTGTTTAGACAGTAAGAAACGAAGTGGTGAGGTGCGCAAAAGAGATAAGAATAAAATAAGTATTATAGGGAATGAAAATTGTAATTAATAATTTAAATAACTTAAAGTTTAATAATAAAAATAAAACTCAACAAAAAGTTGATTTATGCATGAAGAAGAAGTAGCAAATTAATTGATTGCTTATTCGGTTTAATGGTATTCTTTCTTGTTTTTTATTTTATTAGAAATTCGTACTATTTAAATAACCTTTATTATTATTAAAATTGATAGTGTTACACCAAGGTCTATGAGATCTATCGCATGATTTTAAGAGTACTCTAGTGTTGGTCCCATAAACGAACATAGCTTATTACTTTCTTTAGAAATTTATCATTTGTAAGAAAATAAAGATTAAGTAGGATTTCAAAAATACAGTTTAACAACAGCAAACATTATTATTAAGTACTCCTTATTTTTAAAAAACTTTTATATTGAAGCCCTTATGCAAAATTGATTGTTTAGTAGGTTTCTGCTATATTAGTCAATCTGCTGTGAAAGCACATGGTCATCAGACGTCTTCGAATTATTTTGTTGATATTACAAAAATAAGTAATACTATTAAAATTACATGGGCAAGATATGAAATATTTTTCGATTAAAAGACAAACGCATTTGACAAGTTCCTTCTTATCCTTATTATCACAAATTTTACAGTAATGGATGGATGTTCCAAATCTTTAAGTACTGAATAAATGCTTCAGCATTTATATATTATATTCAAAGTATGATTGAGTAAATACTATTTCTTTGAACTTCTTAGTGAATGCGATATTTGCATTTCTATCAAAACAGAATTAAAAAGATGTTTAGAGAACAAGTTTATTGAAACACTTAAATAGTATTAAATCCAAGCACATTAGTTTCCACTTAAAGCCAAAATCATGCTGCTTAACACGTACGGACGAGTACGAGCTGAAAGATTTGGCGAAGTAGAAGCATGGAAGCATTCCAAAAATATTTTTAGTACATGCACAAGTAATCAGTATTACTTTTTGCTTACGTGTTAAGTATGATTGGTGAGATGAGGTAATGGCTGTCTATCTATGACTTCGCTTACGTTGTATATTCAGTCAGACGACTACAACCACAATACATTAATACTAAACATATAATTACATTGTTCCATTAAATTTATTGAGTTATAAAAATTATTTATATGATTTTTTGTTTGTTGAAAAAGAATGTTTATTATTTCTTAATTTAAAACAAATATTGCAAATTAATAAGAAACGACTTAAGCGCTTTGTTATTAATAATATTTTGCCTTGTGTTTATTTAATGTATTTAATCTCGTCTGTGTTTTCACGTATCTCTTGGACGCATATTTATTGAGAGGAGGTATTTAAAAGCGATTAATTTAATAAAAATGCAAAAAGACAGATAAAAACAGAACGTCGGTAGAACTACATTCCAAGCTGCTTTTCAGCCAAGAGCTAAAAGTATTTTTGTTCCACTGTGCTATTAACTGAATTCCATAACTTGGTTTTTTCTGTGTTTTCTGTTGTTTCTGTTTTTTGTGTGTTTTAGGAATTTGTTTTCGTTTTCAGTTTCTTGCGCTTTTTATTTATTTCTTCGATCCTGTTTTAGGTATCTTTGAACCTGTAAAAGTGAATTTTATTTTTAGTTCGTCCTTGAACTGCGTGTGCACCAATTAAATTCCCGTTCTTTGTACGCGCATCGAGTCCTTGAAGTCTCAAAGAAGATCAGAACAATAACAAGAACTTGAAAACACAGTCATTGTAGCAAATTCGAGCTTGGGACAGCTTTTAACAGATAAACGATTAACAAGTAGATTTAATATGTTATTTAAGTCAAAATTAATGAACTGAATTTGTTTCTCAGTTTCCATTTTGTTTGAGAATTGAATTAAATAATTTAAAGTTATTTTAAATAAATATTTTCTGCTTTTAAACTTAAATTTTATTCAGAAAAGTCATAATCGAATGGCTATTGGTGATCTGGAGTTCTAACATAAGTCTTTAAGTGTCTAACTGAACTGATTTACACAAATTACCTCTTTATAAAGAGAATTTATTGTGCTAATTCAAGAACCGTAAAATATATCTTAATAATACTACTTATTGTGATTGATTCTTACTAAGTTTCTAGAAAGTGTGTTTCAAATAAATTGAACGTTTCTAAATATATATTCAATTATTAGCATAATTATGTTAATTTAACAGCAAGTTGTTATTAAATATTGGTAACTTTTAGCTTAATTTTGTATAACTTGAAGATAAAATGCAATATATGATAATTTAATTTGTATTCAATTATCTTAAATAAGTGCAGTTGAATTTCATGAAAAACTAAATTTGTAAATTTTCAAGGACTTTGAAGGACTTTGAATTTGGAAAGTTGAACGATGTTGCAGGAATGAGGCATTAAGCATTAAATAAAACTTAGATTCCCGAAAAGCGTTAACATCTTTTATGATATATACTATATATAATATATATTATATTATATATTGTATTTTATATTATATCATATCCCTAGTATCACTAGGCACCAATAGGTCTATGTGTGGTCAATAAATAAAAAAGTCTGATGTGTGGTTTTTTTCGATGTGGTTTTAATTTTTATTCACATATTCTCACTTATATAACTGTAATTCGCACATGTATATATTTTTAAAGTAATAATACTAACTTTTTAGCTGTGGGTTAAATTCAAATAAACCTTAAGAAGATTCTAAAGAATGCAGTCCAGAACTTGTCCAATCGTTTACGTGGTTGAATACTTAAGAAAGATAGTATCCGCATTATACTTAACGCCTGGCTTGTCTGTCAGCCTCGACATTAACAGTTTCTTTTCTTATTTTTCTGTCATGATTCGTACGGTTGAGTCTTATAAACTTTGGTTTAATTTAATTTCAGAATAGCAAAAGAAAAATATATTTTCAAGGTTTTATCTTACACATTTCATGTTTATATGTTAAGATTTTTATTTTTTTTCTTTTGTTTTTTTTCGGTAATTATAAATTTTACCTCATCATTGTGTATTCATTGGCTTCTTCAAAGTAAGCTTCTAAAAATAAATTCAAATTGAAACAAATTTTCTGTTAAGCAATTCTTGGCCTCTCTGTTGTTACTTTGATTTAACAACGCAAATCTTTTAATTTATCAGATTCATTGTTACAAAAATAATATTTCTAAATTAATTATTTGCAGCTAAAAATACCTTTTGATGTACCCTTCGCTTTAAGGGCTCGTGATCTAACAGTTTTAATTTGTAAGAAAACACTTAAGGTTGGCATCAAAGGTCAAGAGCCTATCATTGACGGTGAACTCTGTGCCGAAGTGAAACAAGAGGAATCTGTTTGGGTGCTACAAGATAGTAAAACTATCTTAATTACACTCGAGAAGGTTTGTGTTTGTTTGCTTAAATGATTTTGTTGTTATATGTTAAGCTTATTTATTTATACATTTTTTATTATTTTAAATATTTAGGTCAACAAGATGAATTGGTGGGATCGTTTAGTTACTACAGATCCTCAAATTTCAACTCGTAAAATAAATCCGGAACCGTCCAAATTATCTGATTTGGATGGTGAAACACGTGGCATGGTTGAAAAAATGATGTATGATCAACGTCAAAAAGAGATGGGTTTGCCCACCAGTGAAGACCAGAAAAAGTTGGATATTCTTGAGAAGTATGCTGAATAAAATAGAAATAAAAATAGAGTTATATTACATATTTACTTATGTGTTTATTAATATTTGCAGGTTCAAAGCCCAACATCCAGAAATGGATTTCTCCAATTGCAAGTTCAGTTAAATTTTCTAACTCAATCAAAAATGTAATACAATAAGTGATTCAATTCAATTTCCATAACCTTTATTTAATAAAATATATATTCAAATTTACTATTCTAAGGGTATAATTAACAAAAACTGAAATTTATATTCGGAAACTGAGTTTTATAAAACAAAATTTATATTGAAATAGATGTATTTAATAATAATAATAAAATTTTGAATTTAATAATTTAAAAATAAAAACATTTGAAATATTTATGATTCGTTTTTATTTTAAAAAATACAGTTGCCAATTAAAAAAATGTTGATTATGGTTAGTAGTGTAATATAGTTCTCTCTAGATTCAATGAACATTTTAAATATGCATAACAAGAAAACAAGGTTGTTAGAGTAAGTTTCTATAAAAGAATTAGTTCTCGTAGATAATTATTAATGCTATAGTTATTATTAACTATTTCAAGCTGGTAATCGGCACACCTTCACTCAATTTTAAATGTGAACTTGGAGATTAGTCCACAGACAACATGGTGGTAAGTTTTTAAATAAATGTGATCCAGAGCCGGTTATATTGAAAAGACTGTGTACATTGTCGTGTACGTAAATTGCTAAACTCTCGATACAGAGCTTTCTGTCTGAGTCTGCTAACCTAATATACCATCTTTTTAATATACCATAATATTAATTTCTATTTCACTGTTAACCTGATATAAAAATCTATTGATAAGATAACATTTGGTTAATTGTGTATTTTTTTTAAAAAAGAAGAGGAAAGAAGTGATATTGTGCCTTCAATACCTGTTTAAGTACACACAGATTTATATCAATTACAACTCTTAGATGACATGATCTAAGATAGTCAATCAAGTGCAGTTGGAAACAAAGAAGAAAGAAGGTACTATTGCACATCATGTTTTTGGTTGAGTAACATATGTGTAGTATATATAATTTATAAACCTGATATGAAGAAGAAAAATTCTGTTGATAGGATTGTATTTGGTTAATATTTGGAATAACTGAGATACGTAGAATAGAAAAATAAATTTGAAATGATTTGTGAAGGCGCTGCAATAATTATGATATTGTGATAATCTAAATGTTTTTAGAGAACAAAACGTTCTCATTTTAAACCATTTAATATATTAATGGATATGTACAATAATAGATATGTACAATATAAATAAAATATACTTAAATAATTAAATAAGACCTTCATAAGCTGTTAGAGATTTGTTATAATTATGAATGCTGGTTGTTTTTTCTTATAAGTATGAATTTATTTGATGCTTGAGTTCCAAAGATACTTTGTGGCATTCAATTTAGAAAGTTAACCAAGAATACACATATATAATATTTTCCAACATACTGCTGTGCTGAATTGTATAAATTGACACTGGTCAAGAGAGTTCATGTGATCAATTAATTAAGTATTTAATGAATGCAAAAACATATATTAAAGAAGTAGTGAAAGTACATTAAATTTGTATAAATTAGTCAATTTCAGAGTTGGTACAAACTTTCTTGGTCTTCGTGAATTTGTTTTGATTAGTTCACGCTAACAGAAATTTCCAAGAATATATTATCTATTAATTATAATAAATATTTTTGTATTTTTAAAATATAAAATGATGGATTATAAACAATACTAACGCTTTTAAGATATAAATGAATATTTTGCATAAATAAACTATTTCGGTGCCAATCGACATAATCATGAGTGAGCACTTAAAAAATTACTACGAATGTGGAAAGAAAAAATATTAAAAAACAAAAAATTTTTAAACATTTTTTTTAAAATTTTTTAAAAATGTATTAATAGTACAACAGAAAAAATGATTTTTTTTAATTTACTCAAACAGTTAATCTCGTAATACTAGTCTGGTTTGAAGCGTTATGTGATATATTAAGAATAAAAATCTGCATTTAAAAGGTGCTCTAATTTAAATTCAAAATAAAATTTATTACCTTTGACACTCCCAGATTTCATGCTTTTTTTATAAATTAATCTTTTGGCAAGTAGACCTCAGTTTATGCGACGTTTAGAATTCGAATCAAGAGTACAGAGAATCCATAAAGAAACTGAGTATCAAATTAATGACAATAAATTAGTATAAAAATAAGCAAAATAAACTTGTTTGTATTTCAAAAATTAATCTTTAATATTGAAATTATTTTGATTTTAAAACATTTTTAGAAATATTTCTTTAGAACAATGGGTCATTGATCCAAAAGAATAATTTAGGGCTTGGCTCGGTACTTTAGACAGATTTTAATAGCAGTTATTATTGCTAAAAATAAATAAAAATAATTACTCTAAATTGCTACATTTCCACCAAGCTGCAAATTAAATATATTATTCTATATTACACAAAAATGATTTAAAATGAAATTTTGTGATTTTATTATGAATTTTATTGTTTAATTTATACTATCATAGAGATTTTAAATATATTTTTATCCACATGTTAATAGGTCTATTTTTAATTCATAAAAGACGGATAATTATGTCAATTAATAAATTCTTGGTAACACGCATACTTAATAAAATTTAGTTGGAATTTTTGTTACTTTTCGGTTTTGTTAACTGACCAGATGAATCTTATCTCTCTTCTAGAGTAAAAACATTTAGCATGCTTTAAATGCTATGCTAAGGCTTTTGATTCAGTTAAGTGACTTTGTTTAAGTAACTCTTTTATTGTTTTCGGTTTACTATTGTTGTGATGAGACTATGTTGCGAGAAAATTAATTTAAAAAAATTCTTTTGCCCAGAAAATCATTGTTATGTTTGCCAGGTACAAGTTAATACTTCTAAGTTTTTATTGAAATGTCGTACATGTTTGAACGATATTGTGGTGCATTCATCGGATAATCTAAAATGAATACCCCGTCAAATGACAGTAGTGCAGACGAATTGGCCAAAACTGGTATACGACTTTTCAAGGCATCGATTGCAATAGACCAAATACAAGCAGAAAAAGTCAGGTATGCTATCAAATAAAGTTGATATACTGATAGGACACTGTTCAATAGACAGTTGATTTAAGTGACCGCTATCGTAACTGTGAGTAATAAGATCAGTGGAAAAATATATCTTGATACTGTATTTTGATACTGTCTGGACAGTTGATTTAAGTGACCACTATCGTAACTGTGAGTAATAAGATCAGTGGAAAAATATATCTTGATACTATATTTTGATACTGTCTGGCGTTCTTTTGTTAGCCTATTTCCACTCTAGGGTCATTCCTTAAGTATTTATACGATATCAGCGAAATATATATTAAACACATTTTTTTATTTCATTAAAACTAAATAGTACTTTCGCAGTTCGAAACAAAAATTTATTTAACTAGTTTCCTAAAATAGTTAATACACCGTAAAACCGTGGTTTAACAATAGCCATATTTCTTAAGACCTATCGAGTTTTATTTTTTTTGCACGAACAATATCTCACAAACTTAGTGCAGTTTTGTATAGATTATTCAAGTAAGAACTTGCATGTACTAGATAATAAGATAAGGCATTAGAAAAGTTTCGGTTATTGGCATGGACTTTAACAATATATTTTAGTTAACCTCTAGTTACTTTCCTTAATTGCTGTTTGTTTGCTAAGTGAAGTATTTTTGTTCAAAATTAGCAAGTATATAGAATAAACTCATTAAAAATGTACAAATTTCTCAAATATTTTAAAATTGCTATATTTCACTAAATTTGTGACAACACAACCGGATTCGCAAAAGCAATCAATTTCTAATTTATAATTATTTCTTTTTAATATATAATTTGTATTAAGAAGCTGCTACATCAAAATCGACTTTCATTTCCACCCAAACACATTAAACCAAAAATAAGACAAAAAAATGCAAAACGTCAAGATACAAAAAATATTTTTGACGGTTTTGATTGCGGCAATAATCGAACAATTCTCAAACACTTGAAAGGCAAGCCGAAGTCGAAGCCGAGATCGAAGAGCGTGCAAAAAGAACGGTGAATGAAAAAATAATTCAAAGTACTAGAAAAGAAGACCGAGAAGATCTCATTTGCCGTTAAGTTCTACTTTCGTTTTGTAAGTCACTTATTTTGTTCTGGTTTGGCAATTGTTTTTTCGGTTTTAGGGTTTTAACCAAATCCTGGTTTGAACTTTAAATGAAGTTAGAAATGATGGATTTTACGTGCTAACCGCTGACTTTAGGAACATAAGGCACCAGAACAAATCCGGGAATGACGTAAAAATGTTTGATTGCTTCGTCTCTGAACTGAGGTTCAGTACAGTTTCATGTTGTGTGGGAGATTTCATTTTCAAATGGGCGGACCGAATGTTGATTTTGTTTTTTGTTTGAAGTGCTCTGATACTTTCCACTTTTTATTGTTCCTATTTTTAGTTTGCTTTTATGAAATATTGTAGGGAAATATATAAAAGCATTTATATACTTTTTAAGTATTTTTTATTTTTTTTTAAATTTATTTCATAAAATAATAATAAAAAGTTATTAAATGTTCTAATCAAACTGGTTTCATTTTTGGAATACAGAAAGTCAAAATTTGAATTAATTTAAACGGACAAAACGTATTGTGATAAGTTTTTAAATTATTTGGCTATAGGCAATTTGTTGCTAATTAGTCATGAATAATGATAAATTATATAATTAAGTTGTGCTATTACTGAAGTTTATTATTTATTAATTGGATAGTTTTTATTTGTCTTGAGGCAAATTAAATTCATTCCGTGTCATTATAGACGGTACTTTCAATATTGCATGCATAAAGGATAATTTTATCAAATTGATTCAATTATGTTAATAACCATACGCATTCATTATATATACACTATGAATAGTGGTATCGTTTTGACAATAAAATAATATTACAATCATACTGGTATTAATATCCTATAATTTCATTTTTGAAGGTTTGGAACCAACACGATCAGGTCCAGTTAACAAAGCAGTGATGATTCTGAGTTGAGGTATATTTAGATAGAGAAATTTTTCAGTATTTTCTGTTGATTTGAGCTATTTGGATCGGTTTATGTCTTAAATAAAAGTCTATAATTTCGCCGACAATATATACCAAATCATTCTTAGTACTGTTGTTGTGTGAAAGTTGATTTTACGCAGAAACTGTCGTGTCTAATAAAGGAATTGAAGGCAGTTTTAAGTTCTTCGTTAACATAGAATTCTTCGTAACCACGATTCAAAATAGGTGTTACCTTAATCGTATTAACCAATTGAGATTTGACATTTTTGCAGTTTCGAT